AAAAAAAAAAAAAAACATAAAAAAAAAAAAAAATTCAGGGAAATTAATAATTATAGAAATATGAAGAAAAACAAATTCAGGGAAATATCATATATGGCAGTTTCGGTGAAAAATCCGCCGAAAATGACACCACCTATTAACCATTTGTGCATCTGCAACGATAGTTTACCGTGCCGCCGTTAGGTGTCATTACATCGTCGTGAAACGGCGGTTGGCAATGATATAGTGACTAGTTAGTCCTCGGGTGTTTCTTTAGCAAATAAGCGACGATTCATTTTTTTCTTTTCAGGCGGATAGGTTGGAATCTGAAATACTTTTTGTTCAAAAAAAAAAAGACAAGACTCGTTTTGGGTATAGAGGATGTGATGTGTGGCTCTTACATGTTTGCTGGAAAGGATTGGCCTTTCCCAAGGGAAAAGAAATGGCGTGAACCATTCGTCATCGGCAAGCTGCTCCAGAGCTATGGTTGTTCTTCGTTCCTCCTCTTCCATCCCTTCTCTCATTGATCGCAAGTCCGCCGCTCGTGCCACGTCCATTGGCATGCGATACATCACTCCATCTTCACCTCGTCCTCCTCCTCCTCCTCCTCCTCCTCCTCCTGTGTCTCCATGGCTCACCAGTTCAGCTTCGTCGCAACAGTCACTAGCAGCGACATGGTCTGTTTCCTTGCTTTCTTCATGTCGCGGCTCCGCACTGAAATGCAACCTTCGCTTGAAGTCGTACTGAGCTGCTACACTCAGAAACGCAGGGGAAGCAGAGTACATCCAAGAAGAAGAAGAGGGAGAAGAAGAAGAGGGAGAAGAAGAAGAGGGAGGAGGAGAAGAGGGAGGAGGAGGAGGAGAGGAAGAAAAAGAAGAAGAAGAAGAAGAAGACGAGAACATCTTGCAGAGCAAGAGCCCACTAACGGTCCCCGCAACGCGAACTAGCTCCCATGGCGGAAGCTGTGTAGCTTGAAGAAGGGTAATCACCCTGGCCATGGAGGCAGTTGGGGGTAGCATTCTGTTTTGGTAGAGTCCACCCCACCAAACAGCAAAGCCAGCATTGTGAACAGGGGGGGGGGAGAGAGGAAAGAGGAAAAGGAAAGACAGAAAAATACACAGAGAAGAACAAAAATATTTGTTTGATCAGTAGAATAATACTAGAATCTAATTTGGAAATAAAACACAGCATGTTTTTGTGGCCTTGGACGCAGGGAGCAATTATTTAATTAAGTGTTATATTATTTATATATGAAGTTCAGTCACTGAGGGCATACGCACACGAGAACCTTCCTGAATGTATCTGACCACAAGTACAGCCAGGGCTGAATGTATTTGACCGCAATTGAACAAAGAAAAACAAAGATCAATTGCCAGAAACAACGAATCTAGACCGGTGGAATCTTGGCCCGGAAATCTGAGGGGTCGGAGCCAATACAAGTTCAAGCAACAACCCATCTACCCCCCCCCCCCCGGGCCACCAAGTCTCCACCCATCAAATGGCAACCACAAGCAGTCTCCGGACATTGGGGGTGGAGGGGGAGAGGGAAGGGGGAGGAGGGTATTATTTTTTAGGCCACCTACCCTCCAGAAGTCAGGGGGGAGGGAAGGGGGAGGAGGGTATTTTTTTCTATGGGTTTTTCGGCAAAGCAAGCCCACAAACCCCCAGCATCTCTTTCTTTTTTGTTTTTTTTTCTTTCCCCTTCTTTTTGATTTTTTTCTTTCTTTCTTTCTTTTCTTTTTTTTTTTTTTTTTTTTTTTTTTCTTTTTTTTGTGAGACGAACTCTTTCGTGACAATAGGCAATGCCCGTCCGTAGCTATGCACTGATGGCCTCACTCCACTGCAGATGCTTCGAAATGTATCTGGACAGGGTGTTTGGACAAGATACATCCGCACTGACCCAACGTTTTTACAATAGGCGATGCCCGTCCAAGGGTTCACACTGTGGGCCTCACTCCCCTGCAGATCCTTCAAAATGTATCTGGACAGCGAGTTTGGACAAGATACATCCGAACTGACCCAACATTTCGAATGTATTGAGCCCTATTATCAGCCCCAGATTCCGACGTTGTGTAATGGAGCGGGGCCGCTTTGTCTTTCTGAAACACCAAATGGGAGCATTACCCAGCCCATGGGGCTGGCCAAACTGCAAGTGCATCTTTCCACAGAAGCTGGCAACATACATCCAGATAGTATGCATAGTAACGGACGTATTTTGCCAGCTTCTGTGGGCAGATGCATCCACTTTTTTGTTTCTTCGTTTCGTGAGCAGTGTGACAAGGCCCCATTTGGCTGAATGGTACACACCATCATAAACTATTGACAAGCAGACCTGAGCTCTAATCCTCATGGAATCAGATTAATAATTTAATTATATATTTAATATTTAAAAAAGCGGAAAACTAGGGCGCTGTCACGGTTTCAGTTCGAAAATGCGTTTCAGTCGCGGTTTCGCGAATGTTGTGCCAAACCTATAGAGAGGAAAATTGTGAATGTATACAACCCAGCTTTAGGGTCGGGTGGGGATGTGCTGTATTCGAGGAGGGATGACTGAAGTGGATTTAAAACTGAAATCGTGACTGCGCCCTACTTACCCCTTAAAAAAATATTAAAAAAATATGTTTCCCAGGGCTGATGATACCTCAAGGCAGTCGGGGCACATCCAAAAAAAAAAAAAAAAAAAAAAAAAAAAAAAA